ACGCAACGGTACATGAACTATTAATTTTTCTCCCTCCTGGTTTTGCAAACAGCAAACTTACTTTCAAATTTCCACATCTCTTCAAATTGTTGTTAACAATAGGTACGAGCCTGATATAAAGATGGTAAAAGAAGAGATGACGGCTACAGAACACTTCAACATGGAAGTTTCCAATAACAGCGAATCAATTTTTTCATTTAAAATAACACGTCCATCTACAAAAGCGGTTATCTGGGATACATCTATCGGTAAAGATATATTATAACTGCTTGCTGAAAAATGTTTACATCTTTTTATGCTACACAAAATCAGGAACATTTCACGCAATAAAAAAACTCTTCTAGGTGGATTGATGTTTGCCGACCAATTCATACAAATTGCTACTTTACTCCCCACTGACAAAATGTATGGTTTCGGAGAGAACATTCACCAAACACTAAAGGTAAAATTCTGCCTAAATTTCTACTTCATCGTAGAAGCAGAAAACTCGATCGTTTTAGCATGACTTTACCAAGTATAAAACGTGGTCAATGTTTGCCAGGGACGAAGCTACAGAGTCTTACGTCGAGAATACGAAGAATTTGTATGGAGTTCACCCATTCTACATGATGCTTGAAACTGATGGTAAAGCACATGGTGTATTAATACTAAACAGTAACGCTCAGGTAATTAGCAAAACTGTTTATTTATAGCTTTTTTAAACATCTCTTTCAATTCCCAGATCTTTTGCAACTTATAATACACGGAATTTAAGGACGTCACAACTGGTCCTGGACCGCATTTAGTGTATCGCACAATAGGAGGTCTGTTAGACATATATTTCTTCCCAGGTCCATCTCCTACGGATGTAGTGAAGCAGTACCAATCTCTTATTGGAAAACCATTCATGCCCGCATATTGGTCACTTGGTTTCCAAGTATGAAAAAAATTTTGCCTTATCACTGCGGTTAGCTAACGATCAAAAATTTAGAAGTAAAAATACAGAGCTGTGTTGGATTTTTGATTTAATAAAATATCTGACGTCTAATTTCAGTTGTCCGGATATGGGTATGAATATGTAGACGAATTTAAGAAAGTCGTTGAGAAAAACTTGGAAAAAAAAGTTCCCCTTGAAGTCATACATGCAGATAATAACTATATGCAGAAATACGACGACTTCTCAATAAGCTATGTAAAAACTTTGTCATCAGTCAATTTATCACGTGGTTTTAACATACTGGGGATAAAGACTGCATTTCATGAAGATAGAAAAAATTTAAAATTCAAAAGAATTTTCGTTCACAGCCGAGCACTAATCCATTTTATTTCTGCAACTATTAACAAGATTTTTGCTTAATAAATATTTTTCTTCCAGGAGTGGAGATTTATTCGCGGCTTTGCGGAAGAGCTTCACAAAAGAAACATGAAAATCATTCTCACTTTTGATCCCGCAATCAGCATGACAAGCACATCATTTAGGCGAGCGTTCCTGACGGTGTGTTATTTCTATAAATGACTGAACCTGATTGAGGCAGCATAAAGAACGAATTATAATTGCAATACAAAATTATAAGCTAATTTACACATTTAAACTCTCTCTAGTTTACAAGGCGGTGGTTACTTAGCCTACACTTAATTCTTAGAATAGACCGTACTTCTAAGAAATAGTTTAAAGAAAACAATGTCCTCCTGAGGTAAAGTTGCGAACGTGTGAAGTAAAGTAAATTTTAGAACTTCTTGAAACGTTCAATTCTTAAAAAACACTTTCACTATTTGGTCTTGAAATTATCTGTCTTGAACAATCTGTCCTAAAAATATGCACGCCAGTCGTTATAGTTTTATACATTTCTGAACTATAAGCATACTCACAGCTAACAAATCTTTCTTACTCTTCTATCCTTCTTACTACAGTTTCTACCGGTTCACGTTTAGAACCTCTAATTTGAAAATAAGCCACTTAATGTCTAACAACACAAATTTGTTTCCATGACAACTCTGATTGGGTCGTCTTCATCTTTTTTTATTGTAAAAACTCCGCACAGTATAAACCAGAATTAACTATTCAGAATGTTTCGTTCATCGAGTACGCTGATAAGTCTCTTGTGCAAAAAGAGGTAAACAACAACTACACTCTCACTAATGATACTAAGGTAATTTTTTAAAAATTTACTACAAGCATCCTAACTCAATAAAATTTAAAAAGAATTCTCAACAAATAATATAATTTCAGCAGCGTGCAACAAACATGTGATAGTAAGCTACAATAGCGCTGCAAAGTAAAAAAACATACTAGTAACTTGAACTAGATATCGATACTATTACTCAAACTAAAAAAGCAACAAATAAGCATGCATCTTTTCCTCCACCTTCAACAGCACTAATAATTAGCAGTTTATTAGCAGAATTGATCTCTCGCTTCCTCGCCTTGCGGGAAATCCAGCAAGGGGAAGAAACGCAAACAAAAGTTTAATTTGTAGCGCTACAGACCATACATGCTCTTAAAATCACACAAAATCTAACGCTGCGTCAAGCTGAGTGTAAAGTCTCAAACAATGAAATCACTCGTTACCAAAGTACTACCACGAAAACGGCCCTAGATTTCAATGCCTCCATTACAGATAATGCTTGGCGTCGCATGGCCAGATAATCACGTTGCATTCCCTGACTTTTCTGACCCACTAAATCAAACAAGAAAGTGGTGGATAAAGGAACATCAACGCTTCCGAAAGATGGTTATGTTCTAACTTCCTTTTTAGCATACGCTACTCTGTACTTCTTCAAGAATTCACATTTAGATCCCATACGACGGTATATGGATCGATATGAACGAACCAGCTGTCTTTGGAACTAACGTCGATCACCCTTGGTATTTTGATACAGAAGGCCATCCAAAAATCACCCCACTGAGATGTGACAAATTCAGCGACCCATACGAAAGATATGAGAAACCGCCTTATCAAACACAGGCTGTTTATCGCTTTAATAGCTCAGTAAGTTCTTGCAATTTAAATTATTGCTTACCTGATGCGACTGCTTAAAATTTTAGCTTTTGTTGTCTCAAAACACACTGTGCATGACTGGAACGACCCATCGTGGAAAGCAGATACTTTATAATTCGAAAAATTTGTATGGACTATACGAAACTATGGCAACATATGAAGCTGCAAAAAACGCTACTGGTAAACGGCCTGTTGTAATATCGAGGTAATTAATTTATTAAAATTTTATAAATTAAAGAAACACATTTTGCTTAATGTTTTTGTTCCGTAAAAGCACTGATTTCCCTATGAAAACGTATTAGGGAAAGTGAACGTTATTCTTATGCTTTTCCGACTGCTGTTCGAGCAGATGGCAAGTGCAAGTTATTGCAGATCGACTTTTCCGGGTTCTGGACATTATGCCGGACACTGGCTTGGCGAAAACAACTCAACTTGGAGTGATTTGAGAACGTCTATCATTGGCGTACAAGAGTTCAACATCTTTGGTTTACCATATGTGGGTTCTGACATTTGTGGCTTCACAGGTAATACAGAGGAAGAACTCTGTTTAAGATGGCAACAAACCGGTGCATTCCACTCGCTTTCAAGGTAATCTAATGTCCAAATAACACCGATTTTGAAACCAAGAGTAAGCCCTTGGAGTCAGCAAGGGAAGAAATAAGTGATATGACGAAAGAGCTAATAAGGAAACGTTGAGCTGAAATTTATGCGACATCAACTGACCGACGCAGAGAAAACTGTTTAGGAACCACGATGACAAAGGTAGTCTACCACAAGATCCAGCAGAGTGGGAAAGTGTTACGAACGCTACTATACAAGCTAATTTATTCCGCTACAGTTACCTTTCCTACCTTTACAGGTTCCAATTTTGTAAACCTTTTGCTCTTTTCAGGCCAAGGATGTTTTAAAGATAAATTTCCGATTAACTAATGCATTAATAATTTTGGGTAAATTGTCTCATTACTTTCAGTCTTCATTTCGATGCTGCTCTTAACGGCGGAACTGTCATTCGACCAGTTTTCTTTGAGTTTCCGGAAAATTCAGAGACTCATGACTTGGGCTTGCAATTTATGTGGGGCGACAGCTTAATGATTGCGCCAGTTTATGAAAAAGTAGACTTGGTTTTCTTTTTCTGTATTTTTCCGTTTCTAATTTTTTTTCTTTACAGGGGAAAGAGGAGGTAGACGTCTATTTACCACCAAGTTCAACGTGGTACTCGTTGCGAGAGAATGATTATGGTGCA